GCAGATCTTCACCGCACACTTTCACTCGAAATGGAAGTAAGCTGAACAATTATGAAACAAGAGATTCCTCGAAACCCAACTTTTCTTCAACTTGTGTTTACCATTACAGTCAACAGCATTACTTATTTCCGATTTAAGTAGGTTTCAAGATTAGCAGTCATTCTTGAAAAAGTACTCAGTCATCCCATGTCGTTAAGGCTGCATTAAATAGTCATGGATCAGTTTTCCCATAATAGTATGAATTAGTATTACCTCAAGGGTCCAAGGATGACTAAATTGTTATTCGGGAATAATAGCTGCTCTCGAAGCATACTCACATTGGATTTAAGTAACATCTATTAACGAGCAAATACATGTTTATTTTATCGACAATCCAACTTCATAGCTTCATAGACATGCGACATCTGCTCTGTGGCCCACTGGCAACTCCGCTCCTTTTCTAGAATAACTTTGTCTTCACCGGAATCGAAGAAGATTGCCTCGGATACAGCGTCAGCATGAATCTTGCAGTAAAGCCAATCGACAGCTGGTCAAGAGGAATCCGTTGCTGGTCGTCTTCTGGTGGAACCGACCTTCGAATCTATTCACCAAACACTTTCACTCGAAATGGAAGTAAGCTCAACAATTTGTGATTAGTATCAAATCCTAAATGAGAGATAGTGAATTTCCTCTCAATCAGTTGAGTAGTTGTCAGGACGCAATTCAACTTCACTTGGGCCTGTTTTCCAAAAGACATCTTCATCGCGGTTTGTCTCGACTGCAGTTTCGACCTCGCCGGAACTGGTCTCGTCAACATGTCCTCAAGATCTCGATTTGTTGCACAACCACTGGACTGTCTCGAATGGACGATATTGTCGGCCTACTTTTCCGGCCAGTCGCAAGACAGAGGCTTGGCTCAATTGACGGACGGACGGGATTAATCATGTAACCTAACACCTTGTCCCGGCCAAACTGGCGGTATGACTTGGAAGTTGGCAACCAGTCTTCTCTCATCGTCATCTCAGCCTTCTGGCAGATGCACAGATCAGTTCAGCCACGAGCAAAATGCCGTCGAAGAAGGGCAACTTTGGCTAAGTCTGGTCGAGAAAGTGGTCTTTTGTCTGCCAGCAAATGGACCAAACTGGCTGGTTCGTTATGTCACTTTTCAGGTCGCCAGTTGGTCAACGGTTGTGGGGTCAAGAGGGCAAATAAACGGCCCTAGAGGCCTCGTGTCTTCCTCATCAAGTGCCCAGTCACACAACGTCCATATGCTCGCTGACGTGTCGTAAAAGCCGAACCGTCATGCAAGCCTGCTTGTCTTCTCGAATTGTAATAGTCGAAAAATAGTTGTAGAAGAAAGGATACACGATAAAGAAGAATAGAGTCTCCTCATGATGTTATGTGATTCGAATTTTCATTTTGAGAGCATAGTTGGCTCGAAGTGCTTCATGAATTGGTCTTGTCAGAGACCGAAGAAGTGTAAGACATTGGATATGTGAAATTCAGTGGAATCTGAGGGAAAATAGTGAAAATTATACCTCCGACCTTTTTTTTTGGAACTCATAAGTTTCACCATTCGTTTAGCAGAAGCGGCTAGAAGTGAAACAACCCGGAACTCCAACTTTAATCCACCAAACGATCCTTCAAGACTCATCTTTACTTCGATTTTCGGGTGGTAGATCTCTTTATTCTGTAGTCGTTTGATTTTACGATGATATTCGGCCTCTCAAAGTCCACCAGCCACCCTTCCTTTCCGGTAAAAACGGGCCGGCTGAAATCCTCAGAGCTGGATCTCATTTTCATAAAACTTCAAGCCAATTACAAAACACGAAGACTATTCGGGCTCCACCCAACATGGCATACATACTCATGATGCTAACTAAAAAAGAACAGGAAATATATATTTCTGTCAGGTGGCATTAGAAACAAATCTTCACACAAATGTTTACTCATCTGTGTGAATCATCAAATGATATCTCTACCATATTTCGTTTAAGGAGATATCAGACATCTCTGCCCATTTTCGTCGGAACCGAGGGAGAATTTTTCGTGGACTGTGGAAACCGGAAAGTGGTAGAAAAATTGAATCAGCCGTCGTCTGGTGGTTAGCTCGATCTACAAATCTCTTCTTCATGCACTCTTTCACACGAAATGAAAGTGACAACAAGAGGGTATTACAAAAAATGAGATGGCATCAAAGCCGGCCACCATTCTTGATTTACCGGGGCCTTGTGTGCTCTGACTATGATCTGTCGGAAAGTGTGTGAGCGCATCTAGCGCAAGTTGAATCCAAGATGCATTGTTTCGGGGACACAAAATTAGAGCAGGAGTGGAGCAAATTGAAAACTGGTAGCATGCCTGTAATCTTTTATTAAAAGAGAATACATGCAATATAATAAAATGTGTCATAAAAGTGATAGATTAATGGTGACCTATCATTAATTATTGCCTAGTATGATAGGAAAAACAAATAAATGACCAGTCATTTTAGGATAGAAGAAACTATTGCCAGTAGGAGTATAGTCACTGGATCAGACATGGGAGATTGGCGAGATTTCCGGCTTGGTATGAAAATTGTTGAGCTTACTTCCATTTTGAGTGAAAAGATTCGAAGCTCCCTTTCACCAGAAGACGACGGCCGATTCCTCTTGACCAACTGTCGATTGGCTTTACTGGAACATTCGATTCCGTCAAAATGACCAACATCATCAGAGCACGGTATCATCGTCACAACCAACTTCAAGCTAACGAGTCAAGAAACCAGCTTTTTAAGGATTTGCCGGTGATTTTGCTCGACTCGTTGGCTTCAATTTTGTTGTGACGATGACACCGTGCTGTGATGATGTTGGTCATTTTGACGGACGAAACCTCAGCACCTTTTCACCGGAATCGGCATGAATGTTCCGGTAAAGCCGATCGTCGTCTTCTGGTGGAACCGACCTTCGAAT